GCTTATCGTGGGATCCAGTTTTGTGGACGGACAGACTGACACATCAGAATTTTCAGCACAAGAAAAAAAAAAAAAAGACGTGCATAATCTCCATACTGCCATCTATCCGTATATCAAGTTTCATAAAAATATTTTCAGTACTTTTTGCGTTATCGCGGGATCCAGTTTTGTGGATGGACGGACTGACGGACGGACAGACGGAGGGTAAACCTAAAGTCCCCTCCAGTAAACCGGTAGGGGACTAACAAGGCAGATAATGTGTAACAGAGCACAATTATAATACATGTGAAACATTTAGGTCATTGCATAAACACATATATGAAGACTTGGAAATTTTACCCATTACTTTAATAGTCCGTATTGATTATGGGTCTGGGTCATAAAGTGTGCAAGTGTTCAAATGCACATCATTTCCATAGCTGAACTAATAATTAAGTTATGAAGGTTTAAAAATTTGACCTTTTAGTTTAGTCTTGACCTTTTATTTTAGTCAGCAACATGTATGGGCCTATACAAGATGGGCCTATTTTGACCCTTGGTCAATAGTTTGTACTGCATTGATAAAGGTCCACTGGACAGTTTCATTCTGAATATCTTGGCTTTGGACCTTGTGCTTCTGGTGAATTTATTTCAAAGGTGCTTTTTTTAATGATTTCTTTTGGCCATGGCAACCACTGTTTGCATGGAATCTTTTGAAGTCCTTCAAAGAACAAAGCAGCAAAATTTGGTTTAAATTGAAATTATGGTTTTTGACATGAAACTTCTTGAAATTCACCATGTATAATCTATATAATAATATAATGTACACACAATTCAATTGTTATATGTCACCCCACTGCAGATGCTAAGGTGGCATACGAACAGCAACCATTTCTTATTAGTTGGTATAATTCATAATGGATGCCTTTTTTAAAACAAATAACAAAACAGAGTGCAAAAGATGGTAGTCTTTAATAATATAAATACTACAGTATACAAAATTAGGTAATACAGTGTTCTTAATAATTCTATTATCCCAGATTGACCTATGTAGTTATAAACCTATAAAGTTATCAAAAACTTAATTAAGAACCATTAATGATTTTTATAATTATTAGTATTTAAAGTTTTTTACCATCAGTCTCACAAATATACTGGCTGTAATGTAAAATACCAGATGTGATCTTGTATGTGCCTTAAGTATATTTCCATAAACTCTAGCATCTTTTACTTTGACGTTTTAAGTTTACATTGCTTTACAAAAAGAAATTTTTTTTACCCCATTATGATGCATTATGGCTTAGTTAAGGAAGAAAAATAAACTGAAAAATTTACAAGTCAATTGCAAGAAAAAGGATAAATAATAGGCTACACAAATTAAAATTAGCACTTTTGTCGCAGCTTCTATTTTAGCCAATTACATGTTCAAAAATATCAACTGTCCAAACATTTTCTTTTTTGTAAATTTAATTGTGCAAGATAGACGATGTACTTCACATAAAGTATAAAATTCGGCCACAGAAAAAGAAAAATGGTTAACAATGTCCAATAAAAATATACATGCTTCCAAAATTTGCTCATGATAACAAAATCTTGTGTGTATATCATAAAAAAAAAAGAGTTAATTTCTGACAGCTCATCCTTAAGAACTTACATGTCTAAAACATAAAGCTACTTCTAGAAATTGTACATGAGAGTGTCTCTAAATCTTTGCTGTCATTTTCTATTTCATTTTTTCATTGAGTTCCTTTAATGTTAATTCAGACTCATCATTACATTGAAGTTCTTTTTTAAACCCTACGCATGCTTTTTTGATAGCATCCTTTGAGCTAGAGTATAACATTTTCTGCTTGATCCCACACTTATCATCACTTATCCTGAAATTAGATAAAAGAAAACAATAAATGATAGAGCATATGAATATTCAGAGCATTTTTGGTTTGTTTTTTAATCAAGATTTTAACACAGTTTTTTTTCAGTCCTGAATCAGCTGTTGATTCACCTAAATGGCTAACTAACCAGTAATTACCAATTTCTCAGCAAAATGACCGGCTACTTATCCCATATGACTTCTAAATCAAAGGAAGACAAATGACCATTAGACACAATGTCTGAAATAATTGTCATGGAGAAATTATGCCTTGTCTGAGGACCGAACCAGCATACCCCTGGATTACTAATCCTACGCCGACAGACATTCCAACCACAAGAACGTGTTTGTTAAACACATATGCCCCCAGCCAAGTTTTTTGTCAGTAACAATTTTTCAAAAGAGGTTTAACCATTCACTCCGTAATGAACAGAAAAATGGCCAAAATATTGAAAACACATTAATATAACTTGACAGAACTAGAAATATATTGTCATGCCACGGATGCCCCGCATGCAGCCAAAATTATAGATGTTATAGTATTTTGTTCCAAACTTGTTTGCACAAACTATTTTTTTTTCCATTTTAAGTTCAAAGTCCTTAAAACTATTCAATGTTAACAAAAACCATTTTTATACAAGGCACTGAAACTATTCAGTGTTACCCTTTTGTAAATTGCATATTTCATATTTGTAACCAAAATAATGACTACATACATTTCCACAAAAGTATGAGTGCTGAACCTGAAAATTCAAAACTTTTCCAACATTAAAGAGAGATAACATTGTCCAAAATCATTGAACCAAGCCAAATACTAACTTGAACTGCTATCTATATGTCAAATTTGAGTTAGATGTGTACAACCGTTGTGGAGATAATAGAATGGAAACTGAAAATTTCTGGTCTTTTACAAAGTTCAAGTGGGATAACTCTGTCAGCTATCATCAAACCATGATCAAATTCGAACTTGGCCAGTGTACTCTTATGACATATCCATATGTTAAATTTGAGTTGAATATGTACAACTGTTGATAATGAACAAAACTGAAAATTTCCTTTTTTTACATTTGAAGGGGCATTACTCTGCCAAAAAATCATCAAACCATGACCAAATTTGAACTTGACATGCACATTCATTTGACATATCCATATGTCAAACTTGAGTTGAATGTGTATTACAATGCGATAATGAATGGAAACTGAAAATTTCATATAATTTTCAAAGTGAAAGGGGCATAATTCTGCCAAAAATCATTGAACCATGACCAAATTCAAACCTGACCTGCGCATTCCTTTCACTTATCCATATGTCAAATTTGAGGTGACAGTGTAATCCCCTTATACCCTTAGGGAGATAATGAACGGAAACTGAAAATTTCATCAAGGGGCATAACTCTGTCAAAAATCATCAAACCATGACCAAATTCAAACTTGCCCTGTATTTTCTTAAGATATATCAATATGTCAAATTTTAGTTGAATGTGTGCAACCGTTACTAAGATAATGAACAGAAAATTTTATGGCGGGGGCATAAAATACTGTAAAAGATATTAAGTTGGCATGTCATTGCCACATTTTATTTTGTTATTGTAAAAGATATTACACAACATGTCATTGCTATGTGATGAAGTTGAAAAAAATTCATCTTTCCAAAAAATATTTATCAAATATATATATTTATCCTGCTTTTTTTCATGATGTTACGTCATTTGCTTATATGTTTATTGTTTAAAGTTTCGGCTGAAGATATGCGAAGAAATACTGAAAGCGCTACCGAATTTACATAGAGTTTGTGATTTCTTAAACATTATTTTTTTATCTATATTTATCTAATATATATAAATGCAAGACTTTGACCTTCACCCTAGTGACCTCCATCCAAACTTAAAGGACCACCTTAGGTATTTACCTTGTAAATATGAAACATTGGTAAGACAAAAATATAAAGGCTGAATAAAAAATAGTCAAAATTTTTTGTTAGCAAGAGAGCGGAAACTGACAAATTAAATTTTTTTTCAATGTTCAGGGATAACTCTGTCCAAAATCATCAAACCGTGACCATATTCAAACTTGACCTGCTTATTCCTATAATGTATCTAAATGTTTAGAGTTGAATGTGTACAACTGTGGGGGAGATATTAATGAACAGATACTGAAAATTTCTCATGGGGATAACTCTGTCAAAAATCAACAAACAATGACCAAATTCAAACTTGACCTCTGTATTTGTATGACATATCCTCATATTAAATTTGAGTTGAATACTTACAATTGTTAAGAGGAGATAATGATTTCTTTTTCAAATGTTAAAGGGGCATGACTCTGCCAAATATCATCGAACCATGACCAAATTCAAACATAACCTGAACATTCCTTAAACGTATCCATATGTCAAATTTAAGTTGAATGTGTACATGTACAACTGTTATGGAGATTATGAACAGAAACTGAAGATTTCTTGGCATAACTCTGCCAAAAATAATCAAACCACGACGTAATTCGAACTTGCACATTTCTTTTTTGTATCCATGTCAAATTTTTGTTTGGGTGATAACTGAAAGGAAATTTTTTTTAATTTTTTTTTTCAGTTGAAGGGGCATAACTCTTATCATCGAACCATGACCAAATTCGAACACTTGACCTGTGCATTTCTTTAAAATATCCATATGTTATATATGAGTTGAATGTGTACAACTTTTTTAGAGATAATAAACAGAGCTAAAAATTTCTGTTTTTTCAAGGTTAAAGGGGCACAACAATGACCAAATTCAAACTTGACCTGCATTTACTTATGAATTTTTAGCTTCTGTGACCTACTTATGCATCAGACTGGAACCAATAATAAGACTTATGTATAAAGCTATCGAAGGATGGTTCCTGCAAAGTTTGGAAGACAGTGCCATCGCTAACCTTCAGCAGTTTCTACTTAGCAGAGCTTAATAATTTAAACTCTAGATACTGCACTTCCTTCTCTGGTTTAAGAGTTTTAATAAAATTCCCTTTAGTAATTGACAAGTGATGTGACAGTAGGATAGATGAGCCAACATTTTGCATTTATGGGTTATGACCTTTTTGTTGGCTTTCTTTTATATATAACTTTCCACTTAAACCAACAATTAATATGGCTTCCTTCCCTTTTTCACTAAGATTATAAGTTTGTACATACCAGACTATAAATACAAGATCTCCTGTTTTGTTCTTTGATGCATCATCCTTGACCAAGTCATAAACAGCATATCTTCCTTGTCCACTTTCTGCTGCGGCTAACATATGTTGTCTAAAGTCCTCAAAAGTCTCTCCTGTAACAATCAATTTAGATATGACTATTTTCTTAATTAAAGAATAATGAATGCAGTGTCTTTTTTGTGCAATTAGTTCAGTAATTGGAATGTCCTGTCACCTGCTAAAAGACTTATAGGAAAGGAAACCTTAGTATTTTTCCCTGTGCTTCTAATTTCTTATCCTAATTTATTTTTCTATACATTTTAATGATAATGACAAAGTAAATTATTATTCTCAAGTCCTAGCCTGCATTTCATAGTAAGTCCATAGTGTATCCGAAGTCCAACTTAAGGACTATTTTAGGACCACAGATTATTATCTAAAGTTGAATTAATTCTGGAAAAACATCCTCAGTAAAATGTATTTGCTAATGATAAAATTAAGCAAGAAATTTAATTTGACTAAATGGCTCAGGACAAACAGGATTTTAATGATCTGATACAGAAAACAGGCAGTCAAGAATTTCAATCAAGATTATGAAATTTGGGTTCAAGTGAGTCCAATCCAACCAAGTCTGCAATTTTCATCTCTTTGTTTTTGTGTTTTTTTCTTTCCAGACATTTCCCTTTTTGAAATTTTAAGCTCAAAAACTTTTTATATCCCTTGTCACACTGTTTGACCAACCTTTATGACCTTGAAAAAGCAATCTGACTTAACTTCCGTGAATCATCTAATTGGGCAAATTTGTTAAAACTTGTTAGACCAGAAGGTGACCACCTAATGAACATTCCTGTAAAGTTTTGATGGAATTGGCTTAGCAGTTAATGAGGAGATGTTGTTTACAGTAAATGTTTAGACAGACAATAGACAAATTGCAATCATATAAACTCATCATGTCACTTTGTGACAGGTGAGCTAGAAACAATTATTGAAATCCTTCACAAGTTATCTTCTGGAAACTAACTGTCTATGAACAGACTGTCAGACAGACAAATGGACTATGCCATACCATAATACGTCCAAAATGTCTTAGCGAGTATAAAAACTTTTTAATAGTTTAACAGAAATAATATGCTGTATTTTTTTTTTTTACATCAAAACTATAAGAAAGACCTTGACCTTGAGGGTAGCAACCTGGTGTTGCTTTTTGCACATTATTTCATAGTGCAATGTACTTTAAAACTAGAAATGTGTCCATAGGACTTGGGTGCCCCCACACTCCACCATTTTTGCAATCTTGTGTCTCTCAGTCATATTTTAATTGTAAAATGTGATGACCCCTGTAATGGGCCAATCTTAACCCTTGGATCATATTTTAAACATAGTCGCAGTTCATTTGACAAATCTACATACTCTAGAGGCCTAGGACAGAAGCTTTTGCAGGTTATCCTCATTGACTGTTCATCAGATCAAGGCTCCAAAATTGAAACATCATTTATTCATCAAATTTGACCTGTAAGTCTCATGGGGGAAATGTTGTTAGAAATGAAAATTGACAACACAACAAACACAGCCCTGTCCCAAAAGCCCATGTTAACAAGAGCCACTGCAAACAGGAGTGTAATGTTTCTTAAAACATACATACCTGAGAAAAAACATTGTGATAAAAGGTTTTTCCATATTTTGCACTTAATTCTATCATACAAAATTTAGTTTACCGCCTAGGTTATTTAGAGATAAAGGTCATACTTAACTTAATATCAACCTTTATTAAACCTTGTCAGTCAAAGTGCTTAAACCTGCAACAACTTTTTAAACAGTCATCAATGGATGAAATTAATTCATACTTTGCCAAATCAACAAGTTTGACATCAACATGTTGAGTGATTCAAGTATAACATTGACCATCAAGGTAAAATTATTGTATTTTGTTAAAATTGTCACAGCTTTGTAATTCATCTATGGCATTGATGTCAATGTAAAGTGGCTAAAGTGTGGGAACTTTGTTATTTATGTATGTATTTAATTTGTTCTTGGACTTCCTAAAATGCTATGGTTCTTCAGCAGATACAAACAGGAGTACAAATCTAACTTTTCCTGATGAGCAAAACAGCATACACAACCTTCAAAATACTCATGTCAAAAATCCTCTGTCACACAAAAGTATGTCAAAAATCCTCTGTCACACAAAAGTGAACATTTATATTAAAATTCCATGTAAGTAAAAGATCAAAACTCATAATCTCAACTAAGAATTCTGCATGTGAACTCAACCTTTGCCAAAGGGACCTGATTGTTGCTTACATCTGTATGCCTCACAAGGCATGAGATTTATCTTAAAAAATCCTCTTAAACATATAGAAGTTTCAATATGGAGTGTTTTCCTCTAACCTTTTTGACCTATACTTTATGCGCAAAACACTACATCTCATGACATTGGCTCCTTGTGGCTAAGGGGTTGCCTTTAAGGGTTGAGGCTTAAGAACTGCAGCCACTGTTTAACCCTGTGTCATCATAAAAGGTGACTAAATGTGTTTGAAACTGGAGTATATGTGTCTCTAAGCTCCAGCAGGTGATTTTGACTTATAGCATTGCTTTACTTTAAACTTTGTAACACCCATGGTAAGCCAAAATCATCTTTTCAGTTTCAGCACCATATGACCTAAACTGTGTTGGTGCGCCATTAAACCAACCAAACAAAAATTTTATGCTAATGAAATTTTGTTGTTGATTGTGAACATCTGTAATACAATCCCTCAAAGTCCAGACTATAAGATTGTCCATACACATATTTTCTTATCTTTCTCTGACCTTTGCCCTCTAAGTGTGACCTTGAATTTTGCAAAAGGCATCTGATTTTTGCAAGGAACATGATGGTAAACATTTGCATAAGTTATAATAAAATCTGTTTGAAGAAGTTTTACCATGCACTTTGATCTGTGTGACCAGACTGATTGACCCAGAAACGTTATTTCATGTGAATGGCACATCTCATGGTGGTGATCATGTCAAGTAAGACTAAAACCCCTCCATACATATAAAAGACAAGCTCTTGACAATACTGAATGCTGCTTAAATGCATGTCACAGAGCTCCAGATCAGCTTTCAGAGGTAAATGGGTAATACTCACCCCATTCAATATTGGGTATTTAAAATTTTTAATATTGTATAAAGTTAATGCATTTTTACCAAATGTTTCAAAATTTTATTGGGTACTAAACAGGGAAGAGTGTCTTCCTAATTAATATAAACCACCAACCCACACATTTAAGATTCAGATTTTGTTTCCTGATGTACAAAATTCTACATGTCAGTCTTCTTCATTGACTAAAGCTACTAACCAAGGAAACTATCCTTTACAAGATGTGAACAATTGCAAATTAGGCAAGTGTTACTCCTTTGATTTTTTTTCTTTCCCAAAAATGTTCAAGTGTTTTAACTGGAACACATGTCCCAGGTTTTAATCACTTATAATAAATTTATGTTTTTAATATTCGATGTCAACAACTGTGCTACATTGTGATACTATCATTCAGATGAGTCCCTGCATCAACCTTTTACCAAACAAAGATTGCAATAAATACGAAATGAGAAGTACATGTGAAGATTTTGAAATTAACAGTTTTGAATCAATTCCGGCTGCTCAATTTGCTAACTTTAAACCAGAAGTTTTGTTTTCAATAATGACTAAGAGAGCATTAACCAGACACACATTATGACATGCCTAAAATAATTAATTGAGTACTTTGCTTAAACAACTGATTTGTTGTACATCAAGATTTCAATTTATTTGAGTAACTGGACACTTTGAATTGCATATTTATGCAAATACACAGCTTATCTGGAGCTCTGCCAATGCCAGGGGCAATCATATTACACATCCCATTTTCTTTTGAAACAGGCATATTAATATAAAACTTTTAAGAAAATATTCTTACCTTCTTCACCAAGTTTGTCAACAACAATATTTTTCAAGTCATCTGCTATTTTGTATATAACATATGGATTTTTCTTCCCTGTTTTGACCAGTTGGTACTTTTCCTTGACATCTTCAGCTATTTTGACTCCAGAAGACTAAAATGAGAACAAGAAAACAAGTCAGCAAAGGCATCATAAGCAAAAAGAATAAAACATTGACAACAGAATACCTTTATTTATATTAATAAGCCTAAATAGTTGTTCAATTTTAGAATCCTCAAAAATATTATAATCATAAATGCTTTTAATTTTGGTATAGCCTCCTGCAAAACTTGTGTAATACCACCAAAATAATGTCCCTTTAGCTCTCAATAAAAACAAGACTTACAAGACACTGTAATGCATGTGCTTAGTTTTCAATTTGAGTCATTCCAAAGGCAAACTAACATTTAGATACTTTTTTTATTTTTTTACATTTCCCTTTTTTTAGAAGGGGGATCTTGTACCTCTACGTTCTTTTTTAAAATAACAAATTATTGGAAAAGTATGAGGATTCTCTTGGAACAGTTCAGCTCTCTGTATATGATCTTTTCAAAGGAAGTATGCATAAATTCTTACATTTAGTTTATATGAAGCTTCCCTAGAGTTATAATATAATGTCTGAATGTATCAATCTCAACTTTTCATTACTAAAACACGAATATCAGTGACAATAGTCCTTTTAGCTACTTTGACACAAAATGTTCATATTATATTAAATTTAAGAATAAGTGTTGATATCCTAAACTCTGCAAGTTAATTTTTTCTATGCTAATCCCCTGGTACAAACACTTTCACTGATATATCTTCACGGTCCACAAGACGTCACAATAGAATAGTCAACCTGTCGTGCTTATTTTCAAAGCTGTAACTGTAAAAGTTTGTTTGTACCCCGGGATTAGCTGTGAAAAACCAAAAATATTCTTTATTACAGATAAGTCTACTGTAACAGACAAATGGAGACAAACATTGCCATCTACTTTCGAGAACTTTTAGTTACAAGGGTAATTTAGCATTATTTTTTTTTATAACTGGGACAGGCATATTTGTTAACACTTAGCTATAATATTTATCTATAAATGATGGGGTGCTATTAATAAGACATACTCTATTCTCTTATTTAATTAGTTTTGGGATAAAACTGAAATTCAACTTCAGTATGGGAGCACAGATAACTCACTATATTCCTGAATCAGCATTTTTTATAAAGTATTTTAGAGCAATAATTCAAATGGGATATACAAAATGACTTGACATCATGGAACTGTCTATTTTACATACTTCTTACATTTACAGAAACTCATCATTACTTAAAATATTAAACATTCATTTACTTACTTTTAATAAACCAAGAGAAAATTAGAAAAATATCAAATAATTATCAGGTAAGAGTTATTTTGTTATATTATACACTGCACAATAAGTTCAAAGTGGAAGTTTTAGTAAAGTTATTATATTGCACTATAACATAAACTAAGAAGCAAATCAAAACTGATTTTGTTAAAAAAAAATATAAATAAATACATTTATAGGTGCATAGCTATATTTCATATGTTGAAAGTAAATACCAATATTGAATAATGCAAAAATGTAGAAATAGTAAACAAAATTCATCTCCACAACTAAAATATCATTCAGACAATTCAAACGTTATGCCATTTACAAAATTAATTGCCAAGTAGAATATAAAAACAGAAAGTGTTGTAGAAGTCATTGTGCACAAATTTAATACATGTGACATTTCAAATTTATAGAACTTTTATAATAAAGGTTTTTCCACAATGATTTTATACATTTTTAGCAATACTTTGATATCCAGCATACACTGGTAGCACATGTAAATGACAGTACTTGAGCTTTTAACTACTTTCTAAAAGGAGCTAAAACCATTGAATTGGTTTTTTTTTTGTTTTAGAATGGCAGGTACAAATGAATGAACAAACAGACACAGGTGTTGCAGTTACCATGACTCTTTAATAAAATTTACACCAATTATTCTATAAATCGGTCATTTACAAATACCAAATTATGCTGTTATACATATACAAGTTAATGTCTGGGAATGTAAATCCAGACAAAGTCACACAAATACACACACCAATTTTGCTGTAGCAACTAAAACTTATACATGTGGGTGGAAGGTATAATCTCTTATTAACTTATCAACTCATTCAAACATATAAATAAACATAGAATATAAAAGGAAGGTGTTCAAAATACAGATAGTGGGAGAAAAACAGGCTGCCATTGGGTTGGGAGCAAAAAGAACTGTTGGTTTGACTGTGGATTAAAATACATACAAGGTAGGCATAATGCAGTATATCACATCACACTATACACTCAATCATGAACTGTACACAAAAATAACTGTATTTTATTTTTCGCATGAAGTAAAAAAAAATGCTGCAATACAGAAACACAAAAATTCAAATCATTTATTCAAAACATCTTTTTTCATGATTAAAATCAGACATTATAAATAAAACCTGATAAGAATAAATTCTTGACATCTAACCTAAACTAGTCCAGAACAAGACCTGCTGGTGGAATGCACGCTCCACGTTTCTCTGTGCTGGATGATCACAAAGCAACATAGAAAGCGAGCATTTTTTGCAAAAGTGCATGGCAGTCAGATATATCTGCCTAAATAGTCAACAAATGTTGCAAGTTTGAAGTGAAATCAGAATACCGTAACAGTTACTGTTATTAATAAACAGGTAAATATTTTATCTACTAAAAACAGGAAATAATTAAGCAAAATAAACTTATTATCTTCCCCTAAGAAATGTGTTTCAAATTTGATAGTGATATTGTTTACATCTTGATTGTTCCCAATATTGAGCTGCAAGAATTCAAATCTCAATTTTTTATCAAAAGAAAATAAAACAAGCCAAACCCCAGATGCACAACTGCACATGCTTACCAACATTCCTGTAAAGTTCCATGACTCTTAGTCTCTAGGTCTAATACTTACGCAAGACACAATTAAAAATTCAACTCAAGGGCAATAACTCTTAACAAAACTGAATAAATATACTGGGAAAACCCCAGGTGAATATCTTCACATGCTTATCAACATTTCTGTAAAGTTTGCCGACTACAGCTTAAGCACAGGTACATCAGATAAAAGTTAAAAACATTTTGAAATGGTTTTTACTTAGTCAAGGGCAATTTCTATACTAATTCTGAATAAATATACAAGCAAACTTAACATGCTGACCAACATTTCTGTAAAGTTTCATCACACTAGGTCAAATACATTTTGAACTTAGCACGACACAACAAAAATTGCAAATTTTTACTAATTCAAGGGCAAATGAATACATCCACAAGCAAACACCCAGTTGCATGACTACAAAAGTAAGGGCAATTAACTCTTAACAAAATTAAATGCACATGTGAAAATCCCCGGAGCACAACTTCATCCTGTAAAGCTTGTTGACTAGCTCGAGCACTTTTAGAGCTACATGTGACACAACATGGAATGCATCCACTCACGGACTGGCAAAAAAGGGCAAATCTAAATCCCACCCCCAAGATGAGCCCCTTAAAAGTAATAGAATTCCATCAAGCAACCAAAAATACTCACCATGAGTCAAGACCAGAAAATGGTCAAGTGAACTAAAAAGGAATGCAAAGTCATGATATCTAATTATCTTAGGATCTCACAAAACATTTGAGTTTGCGCAAGTTTATCAATGTGATACTATATTTTCATTAATGAACAAAGAAAACAAGATTGCATTTGAGAAAAATGCTATGCCACCGCATTAATACAACACTAAGCCTTCCTACAATAAGATTTTTTGAATTTTTTTACTATATATATTTATTGAAAATCAATGACCCCGGGGCAAAGGCAATTTTGACCCCAGGGCTATAATTTAAACAATCTTGCTAGAAGACCACATAATGTTTCATGCAAAATATCTAACCTCTAGCATTTGTCAATTACTAGAGGAATTTTTTTTAAAGTTTTTACTACATGTATAAGTTTTTACTATATACATATAAGGAAAACCAATGACCCCCGGGGCGGGGCCGATTCTGATCCCAGGGCTATAATTTGAATAATCTGGGTAGAGGTCAACCAGACAATGCCTTATGCAAAATATCTAAGCTCTAGGCCTTTTGGCTCTTTACAAGAAGGTATTTTAAGTTTTTGCTATATGTACATATAGTGAAAATCAATGACCCCCGGGGCGGGCCGATTTTGACCCCAGGTCTATAATTTGAACAATCTTGGTAAGGGTCTACCAGACAATGCCTTATGCAAAATATCTAAGCTCTAGGCCTCTTGGGTCTTTACAAGAAGGTATTTTAAGGTTTTGCTATATGTACATATAGTGAAAATCAATGACCCCCGGGGCGGAGCCGATTTTGACCCCAGGGCTATAATTTGAACAATCTTGGTAGAGGTCTACCAGACAATGCCTTATGCAAAATATCTAAGCTCTAGGCCTTTTGGGTCTTTACACAAGAAGATTTTTTAAATTTATTCTTATAATTCCTTTTTGGTTGCCATGGCAACCAGATTTCTGTATGGAATGAAATTCTTTGAACAACTTTGGAATCCCTTCACCCAAGGATCAATCCTGCAAAGTTTGGTTGAAATTGGACTAGTGGTTTTTTCACAAGAAGAATTTTTTAAGTTCACTATATAATCTATATAACACACACACACACACACAAACAAACACACAGGTGAATCGCTATATGCCACCGCATCGCAGATGCTGCGGTGGCATAAAAATAGAGGATAATTTAAGTAGGAAGTTGTTAAATCATTTCATTTCTTGAAAACATGTATAAATCAGCAGTCAGCAAAGTTAAGTTTAACAAAAATATACAACTAAAATGTTTTGATCATTATTAAAAAGAGTGCATTAGCCTGTAATTAATAACTAGAAGCACTTAAAGCAACACTAACTCAACTTCTAAATACACTGTAATATATAAGCAATTTAATCTAAACTACAATATTCTGAGCAAAAAATCATTAATTTATGTGTTGCTATTTCTACTTTTTTTGTCAATCCCCAATACCTGTAAAGAACCTAAAGTTTAAAATTAAAACAATTCATTAAACTCTGTCTGATTACATAAGCTGCTTTGAC